TGTTATTTTTGTTCTGTTTTCTAAAATGTGTTGCCACAATTTTCCATTTACAGAATTACTTTGATGAATTAAAATAATTTATCTCAACTATCTGGAGCTGTGACTCGGGCTGCTCACCATCAGTCCTCCGTGAACTCCGCTGCCTCTCAGGTTCGGAGCGTACTCGGCCAAATCCACAGATCGGAGCCACTCCATCACTCTGTGGTTCGTCCACTGGGAGATCTCAGCCGGAGTCATGTTGTTCTGGACGAAGACGAGGGAATGAAAACATCCATTTTAAATAAGTACATACAACATTACATTATATTTTCAAATAGGGAACGTGACGTGTTGTCGTGAGTGACACCTCATCGCACGGTCGTCGCCTGAGGCAGTTTGCTTCGTAGGAGTTGAGGCGGAGGACCTGAATGGCTCGTTTGATGCTGAGGTGATGGAGAACGCTGCCGACCTTCAGAGACAACAAGTCCTCCTGCAATCAAACACAAAGAGTTGTCACGCAGACACATGACCTGTTGAATGATTTTCGTTTTGCAGCGTGTCGAGGATTAAAAAGGCGGCGTCGGCTCACCACTGTCATGTAGTGCAGCATCCGTCCATCAACACGAGCCTCATCGAAGTGACTCTTGTACTGCGGGAGGCCGATGTCATCCAGCCATCCTGAAACACAGAAACACCAGCGTGTTGAATCTGAATTCAAAGTTGAGGCTGACAGAACAGATGCTGGATGATGAGACACTGACTGGTCACCCAGTTGTGGTCCAGTTTGCCCTTCAGGTCGTCCTCATCTGAGCCGAGCGCCTGCAACGCCAGCTGCAGCTTCTTCCTGTGGAGAGGCTGCTTAATGCCCAGCTCCTGATCAGAGGACAAACTCCATCAGTCACAGGAAACTTTGAACAGACACATCGTGTTGACTCTCTTTGCCCTCATCACATTCAAACACTGGACTTTCCGGAGGTTTTAACTTGGGCTTGGAAATTTCAAAGGTAGGTTGAAAAGGTAAAACTACAATTAGGATGTTTGTAACAAACTGTACCTGTCATGACGTCCATCTTTATAAACAGTATATGCTTTGTACTAATTGCAGTATAATATTTCGTTTCTGAGCCAAATCATAGGAACAAAAACGAAATAAAACACCTCCTCCTCCCCCGATGGCTCCTCACCTTCTCCACATCGTGCTGAGACGCCTGCAGCAGCGTTTGTCCTGATTTGATCCAGTTCTGACCCTGAGCAGAATATAACCCGAGTCCTTGTTCGTGCAGCCACTCGTAAACTTCCTCTTTACTCCAGCGTGAGAAAGGAACGTCGACAGCACTGAACAGAGACGAAGAAAGAAAACATCCATGAGAATAACTAATGATCCAAACTGTGACAAAACATCAAGAAACTTAAAAGAAAAAAAAAATTCTGTCTTTATATTTTCAGAAATTAAAAAAGTCCCTGATCTAATAATCATCTTGTTCCAGACGGCAAAAACAATAAAATTACAAAGTTTCCCAGAATCCCATTGTTTCTTTAAACTATAAACTCTCGTTGTCGCCTGCAAAGTGTTTTGAGAATCTAATATGAATCATTAGTCGACACCTACTTGTGTTTAGCTTCTCGTGACCACCCGAGTCTGGGTCCAGCTGTGGCTCTGACTCCTCCCCTCCTGAACTCCATCTCCGCTGCATCATCGAGGTTGAAGGAGGTGGAGTGACTCCTCTTCAGTCTGCAGGAGTAAAATACGTATCGCAGTATAAATATGATATATATGAAGATAATCCTCTGACATTACTGTGAACACTCGAGTTTTACCTGCCAAAGAACTTCATGAAGCCTTTCGACTTCTTTTTGGTTTCTGGTGAGGACGGCGAAGGAGGTGCATTGTGGGATTTCTGTGGAGGAACGCCGGCCAAGTCCAGGTGATCTGTGCCTTTACGTTCTGTCTCAGCTGGAGGAATAATTATTAGAACATTATTTATTTATCTGGTAAAAGATTTGACTCCCACCAACACCTGGAGCTCCACTACAACCAGAGTTACTGAGTTAAGAACCTGAACATCACATGCAAAGAACCAGCGAGTCATTACGATCCAACGTGTACAGATGGTCGACGACTTCACTGACAGGTACGATCAGAACGGCTTCATTGCAGATGGTTCATAACTTCATGGATCAGGGACAACTGGATGATTTAAGATGAGAAGAAACTAGAAAACTATGATTTTAAAGCTGTGGTTTACAACTTTTGATGAGGAATAATTTCACCTCTTCACAAGAAAAAACAAAAGGCTGGGAAACATTACTTAATCCATCATAGGACAGAGTGACACTGAGTTGATGAACAGAAAGTGTTGCGTTCACGTGGTGTCGGAATTGACTTAATTTTTTGGGATAATAATAATAATTTGGGAAATTCGACCTTTTAAATGATCATATTTCAGTGTCAGTCAGTCTGTAAGGTGCATCCAGCTGTATCATCCAGAGCAGCCATGCTGCAGGCCGACAAGGCCACTCTGCTCTACTGTACCTAACAAGGGGGCACTGGAACTCCGGCTGCGATCTTCACAAGTTACAGAGTCATGGAAGAAACATCAGAATCAACAATGAAACATTTTGAAATTAAAAAACTGTGATGATAATAAAAAAGCAGGATTAAAAAGAGCCGTTTGTTTAAGCTCACCGAGGTTTGAGGTGCTGGCCGTCTGCTTTCCTCCACGCAGCTTCAGGAATCCTCGACCAAAAGAGGAGCGACTCTTCTTGGAACCAAATGTCTGTTCACTGCTCGGGGAGAGGGAACCATCTGCTGTTTTGTTTATCGTCTATGAGGAAAAAAACAGGAGGGAAGCGAGTTGGATAAAGTCAAAAGATTTAACTTGTAAATTCAAGCAGGAAAAAAAGAGGAAGGTAAAAGTTTAATTGCTCAATTCAACCACTAGGTGTCAGTGCAGGACTAAGTGCAGCACATGTGATTGCTCCTGTGATTTGTCTGTAAAACCAGCAGGAATCACGTGGATCAATTACACTCAACATTCAAAGGTCAAGTGAAAATAAGTCTGAATGTTTGAGCTTTGATTTAATCAGATCGATCTCCGACTGGAGGCTCAACATGTCCGTGTGACGGAGTCTTACCTGGTCACTGCTGCTGGGTCCGGTCAAGCTGAAACAACAAGAAGAAGATTTCAAGTTTTGAGAATACGTGATTCAAGAGTCCTGAACTTTCGTCCCCACTAGAAGTACAGTTATGTTTCAGACAGTCACTCTGCTGATGGGATCTTAGACCAAAGAAAACTAATATTTACTTCACGTTCAAGGGTGCTCCAAATTAAAACCACTTCATGGTTTAATTAAAAAATTAAATTAAATAAAACATTTGGAAACTGAAGAACTGATGAAACCATTCAACACAAACTTCTACAAAAAATGTAGATGACTCCGCAGCAACTGCTTCAAAATATAACGACGCTGAACGTCAGCTGTTCCACTCTCACACAGATTGTATGATTCACAGGTTTTCTTCACTGAACCTGCTGCCGTGTGAAATCTTTAATCACCAGAGAATGAACATCACATTAAACTCTACAAGTATCAAGAGACGACATGAAATATTAAGAAACCTGTAGAATGTGAAGCTTCTTGTGGTGAAGATCTCTAGTTTGATTTTTGTGTTTATTTCCCAGCATATTCTTACAACAGATAAACATTTTGAATTCAATTTGAAAAAGACAGAACAAACTAAGACGTCTTCTACACGCAGCAGACTGACACGAGGCTGTGTCACATGAAGACTGTAGCTCATCTAAATATATATTTATATAGAAACTGACACGATGAAAACAGATCGACTTCTCTACCGGTAAAACATTTGTATTGTGTGATGTCTGAAATTTAAGTACAGAGAAAATAGATATAAATAAATTAAATCTGAAACATTTCGTTAAAAGGAAAGCTTTTCAAGGCCCACTGTAAACTTTTAGAAAAGTCTGTCAATTTACATTTTGTGCAGATATTTCAGTGTATTTTATTTAGTATGAGACCAAATAAAGCAACATGTGGTAACAATTATTAGATTTGAAATCCGGTGAGTTTTACCTTTGTGTCTGTAACTGTCGTTCTCTGTCCAGCTCGTTCATCTCAGACAACACCGCGATACACGGAACAGACTGAGAAGAGAGACAGCGACAGAAAAAAAGATTAATTTAACATTTTATATTCAAGGCAGCAAAACATTTACCCAACAAATAAAAATCTGAACCGAAGCTCTGGATTCCACAGAGAAACAATTTCAGAGTGGGAGGTTGGGATTGAGTTGTTTGGTTTTTTTCTGAAAGGAAGTCGAGAGTCTGGGGTTCATCCTGTGTGTGAATTGTTTTGACAGAGGTTGTGTTTACCTCGCCAAAGCTCCTTCCTGCCTCCCCCTCCAACGCCAGCGTGACCTGATCCACCTCCATGGACACAGGAACCGAGGGATCATCTGGGATATCGTGATAGTCATCTTCCTTCAACTTTTCTGAGGGAGGACACACAGGACGGTCAGCAGGGATGTGGAGTGAAACTTCGACTAACTGTTTTAGTCTCACTATTAATCTTCTTCACATTATTAGATTCAAAGATCGTCTACTGGAGACGAGCAGGACATGAAAACAACATGTTCTTTCTCAGGGTTTTTATTCCTGATGTTAGTTTTTATTTGGAGGTGAGTTGGTAACATAATAACTAGAGAACCTAAGGCTGCAACGAACAAGAGTTACTGATAATCTGCTTTACTTTTTCAATTAATGATTAAAGTCGTTTGTCTAAGATACTGCAAAAAGAGGCGAACAGTTTCCCAGAGCCCAAGGTAACTTCTGTAAGTGTCTTGCTTTGTCCAATAAACGGCCAAATTTTCAAATTATCAATTAACAAGAAAATATAAAAAGAGAAAAGCTGGAATCACAAAATATTGAAGTTTTGTCCTCGATTAAATTTTAAATTATTTTCTGTTTCGGGGCAGAAATCTCAAGAGTAAAGTTGTTTGTATAAAACTTGTCCACTTGATCTGAACACAAAGATAAATTAACAGAGGAGTTTAAAACTGATGTAATGACATAAATGCACTTGTAATAATTAGTATATGTTTAAATGATGAGTCACATTTTAACACAGTCTAACCTTTTTCAAGCTCCTGCACTTGGTTGCACTTAGTAAGCGACTCCTCCAGCTCTTTGATCCGTCTCTCCTGTGAATAAACACGATCGAATTACAGTCAGTTCCGTTTCACTCAAATCAGCTTCACGTGATTATGACGACATTACATGACCGACCTTCTCATCGTTGGCTGACGCGAGCGTCTCCAACACCCGCCTCACCTTTAACATTTCTGTATCTGGACACAAGATGATAAAAAAACATGTTTAAGGTTTGTTTGGATTCAAAGTAAGGCTCAGGTTCTTATCTGGACTAATGCAGTAAACTATTGATTTAATGATCACAACAAAAACAGGGACATTCTGTGCGTTTAATGAGAAATGCTGCACAATTAAAAACATCCACAACACTTTGTTTAACCCAAATCAAGTTCATCTTTTTTTAAACCTTTAAGTTCTGATTTTACTTTAAAAGCTGCACCAATTAATATTATTCATTATTTATTCAGCTTCTTGTATCAGGTTTATTTTCCTGCCTGTTATTTTATATATTTTGTTCTGTCTCAGTTTTCTAATCACCGGCTAGAAAAGAGATTATTAGGATGTTAGATGTTTGACGTTGTGTGTCTGAAGGACAGCAGGTCACACTGTCCAGCTTGTGTTTACACGTAGACCAGGATTCGAGACTCTGCTTTTAATAACTGGAATTCCTCCACCATCAGAGAGGATAAGATAAGGTCAGCAGAGGGTGAAGTACAACAGTCATGTGGTTGTATGGAGCCTCCGCACAAAAACACTGACAAGGATTGAGGTAAAAAATGAGTTTGGAGCATCTGTGAGATGCGAGATAGTAAAATAAATAAATAATTCACTGAGGACTCCGGATGAACGTAAGAAACCCATTATTGCTTTCGGAAAGCTGCTGGAGGGAGGTTTGGTGTTTTAGGAATGTGAAATGTCTATTTCTCTAATCCTCATAAACCCTTGTGTAATATTAGAGTTGAGCTGCATGAAATAGTTTAAGAATCTTCCAGACAATTAATAAAAAACAACTCCCACCTCCGTCTCCTCCCTCCGCTCTGCTGTGACCCTCCACCTTCAGTCTGCTCTCGTCCCTCAGCCTCCGCAGCTCCAGCTCTCGCTCCTCCAGCTGCTTCTGTAGAAGCTGCAGCTCGTCCTGTGACAGACGACAGATGTTAAATCATTGCTATATAACTCTCACACTTTGTGAGTCAGACTCTGACAGACGGACAAACTTAATTAAGTCTTGTTTTTCAGTTTTAATTAGGCCTCTATTTCTTTCTTAAGATTTTATTTCCTAGTTATTACCAAGTATATAATGAAAAACATGTCCCCAATAACTTCATCTCCATCATTTCAATGTTTGATATTTTGGTTTATGACTCTGCTAAACTTCCATTTCCATCAGCCTCAGCTGGACTTTGTGTTTCGTGCTGATTAGCACATAATCGCATGCTAACACCCTAAACTAAGCTGATGAACCTGGTAAGCATTAAACCTCCTAAACATGAGCGTGTTCGTCCTGTCACTGTGAGCATGTTAGCACGTAGCTCAGGCATCACTGTGCCAGCAGAGCTGGAGTCTGTCTGTCTGCAGACTCACTGAACCCGTTTCAAACTCAAAGTTCCTCCAGAGACAGAGACGTAGTGAAGTAAATGTCATGTGTATAATCAGTGAAATGACCCTCGGACCTGACATTAGTGAGAATTAGTCTCTGTTTATACACTATGGGGGAATTGTGAGATATGTACACAAACACATTTTAGTTTTAAAGTACTAACACACCTGAAAATACATATCATGTGACAATTTGTGTGTTACTGAAAACAGGAAGTCGACTGTCTTCTCTGCAAGTTGTTGCCTAGTTACAGAAACAACTATGAACGAGAACAGAAATAGTAAAAAGTGAAAGATTATTTATTTTCTTGGAACGAAGACAATATGGTTCTGTTAGTGTCAGGAAGTGTTTTGCCTTCAACACTTGGTAGTTGAGTTGTGGCTGATTAAAATGTGGTTGACTGTGTCATCCATTTTTAAACATCTCAGTTCTTTCCATTCATACGACAACACAGCTCCCGAGTTTTCCATCTAAAACTGGGTCAGCAGCATTTTCAAAGTTCTCCATTTTGGGAGCTCAACAACTCCAGAGGAGTGTAAATGACAGGCACTCACGGTGATGGTGAGATTCAGTGCAGGCTCACGCTATTCACTACATCTGTAATCTAGATTCTAGTCTTCTAATCTAGAGAATGGTTGGCATGCAGAACAGTGGACACACTGGAAAACAGGACAGACAAAAAACAAACACAAACGGTCTCTGCAAATAGAACTTATGATTAAAAGATTCATCTGGAATCAAGGAGATGTACCAGTTTCCCTCCTCAACTGAAGGAACACGCCGATTGTTCAACAGGTGTTAATCGCAAAAAAAGATTTGAACCTGGTACAAATCTGGAGCCTCTACAGGTGGAAGCACTTACAGCAAGTGTGTGGTGAGAGTCAGGAAAGCAGAGTGCAGCAGTGGAGGAAGGAGCAGGTTTAGAGGATCTTAAGGGCCAGAGAGAGGAAGAGGACAAGCAGGAGATTAAACCTTGTTCACCTCGGCTCCAGTGGACCGCTTAGTGTTCCACTTTGGACGCTTGACAGGTTAGCATGTTGCGGGAAGATGTTAAATTTACAGAAGAGAGAGGGGGAGGATGGAAAGAGGGAGAAATGAGCAGAGAAACAAAGTCACGATGGAGGGAAAAATCACAAGGTTTTAAATAAGTACTGAAGCATTTCAAAAAGGGCACAAATCAATTCTGACCTGTGAACTACAAACACTCACTTTGGTAACTTTGAGTTTTTTCTCACACAGCAGTCTTTCATTCTCCATGTCAGTCACCCTGAACCTCAGGTCTGTTACTTCCTGGTACAAGCCCTAAGGAAGAGGAAAGAATTCACATTAACCAGTTAACTTGGAGAGTAACCTGCACCGGGGAGGTTTGTGGAGACTGTGCGGGGGAGATGTGTGATAATATATTTTTTTTTTTTTTAAACGGGGGAGAATTCCTGCCAAAGGCCCCAAACATTTCTTTCAGACTGACGTCCCACTGGAGAGAATCTGAGAAGCTCATGGAGAAGAATCTAAATGGGAAGTGTCATGGTCAATTACAGTGTGGGAGCTCTAAGACTTGGACATTATATGGAATTAGTACTGATATTAAGATGCACTTTTACCCATTAAACACTCTTTCTTTGAGAATTCAAATGCTGGTGTTAACATCTGTCCAGAGACATTCCTCTTTTCACACACTAATGTGTCCTGAGTGTGTCTCCTGTGACCACTTGTGATCACATCCCCCTCTCTTGCTCCATATGCAAATAAACACACATGTCAAAACTGTTTCTGTAAAATTGGGTTAATTATACAATTATCAATATATCTTTTGATTTACACGACTAACTGAAAGTATATGAATGTAATAATTATGGCATATGGACACAGAGATATATGGTTATGGGGTGTGAATGGGTTTCAGCAGCTTGTTCTTTTTTGAAGTAGTTTTTTTTAGGTTTTCCTTTTTTCAATTAGGCTCTGAAGTTTAAATAAATGCAGGAATCACAATGGATCAGCATAGTTTAGATGGGATTAATGTAAACTTTCTATAATGGAGGCTAAATGGAAACTTAAACAGTTGCAGAAACAATCCCCTAAAGCTTTTACTGCCTGGAAATTCCACATAATATTCTCCAAATATACATGTTCCTGCTGGTGGACAGAATGTATGGAAACTGTTAGTCCCACGGCCTTTTAGAGAGGGGGGAGGAGAAGGGAGATGCATGGATGGGTGGGTGGGGGGATTTCTGGCAGGAAACAGCTGCCGGGGCACACGAGGAGTTTAAGCCTCTTTTGTAAACGTTGAAGAAGTTCACCCTGCACCACATGACAGCTCCGAGTCCTCCAGCCGAGTGAGACGGACCTTTGTGACTCAAAAACAATAACTGGGCGGCCGCCAGGATTCAGAGTCACACATCACATGAATCGAGGTGCAGGTGCAAACTGAGAACTTCTCTCCATTCTGCTCTGTTTCACCTCATGGTCCCTGTGATCTCGCTCCACAGTCGTCAGCTTCAGCTTCAGACTTGACACCTCGGTCATCAGCTCCAGCTTCTGGGTCTCCAGCGCTGATCGGTTCAACAGCTCCTGTAGAGCAAGAGGAAAACTTTAGGATATTGCAGTTTTCCATTCATCTAGATTTCACATTTGAAATATCGACTTTGTAGAGGCGTTACCTGTTGAAGAAGCTCCTCAGTAGCATTTAGTTTCTCCCGATGATGGTCAAGACAAGAGTCAAGGTCTCGAATCTTTTCACCCTGCACCTCCACCTGGTCTGTCAGAACACTCACCTGCACAGTGAGAGAAATCTTTTATCAATGAATGTTCGATTATCAACCAGCTTTTTATATTCTACTTCTTTCACATTAGAGATTTCTGTATTTGTGTTATCTTTTGTCCACGTTATCATATATGTCATTATTGAACAAACATGTTGACCTGGAGAATAAGACACTCTTTGTCACTCTCCAGTCGTGACAGACGATCTTGGTTGACTGTTTCTGAGCCGTGTCCGTTCGCCTGAAATGGGAAAATAGTACAAGTTGATTTGAGAGAGTTCATGAAAGAAAAGCAGAGTGGAGGCCTCTAGTTGTCATGTTGAAATATGAATCTGGCTAAAGAGGCCAAAACAAAATACTCTTCACCCTTGAGCCACATAGATCTTGTAGAATAGTGTAGAACTATATCCTCTAACCTTTGTGAAAGATGAACTCACAGGGTTTCGAAGAAAACAACAGATTTGACTTTTCCAGAAAAGCATGTGAGGGTCAGTACTTTTCTCACATGCAAGTTATTTGAAAATTGAATCAAAAGCAAACTGCTCGCTCGAATATCACACATGGAGAGACGAGTCCATGAGGGAAGAAAAACAAGAGCCTTGCTATGAGACGACGTGAGTTTAAGGAGATGGAAAGTATTTTCAGCCGGACTCCTATAGAAACTTCCATCACTCACACAGCACGTCATAACAGCACTCCTACAATAAACAGAGTCACTGTATGGGCAATGGAACAAGACCAAGTGATGCAAAGCAGATCAGAGAATAATTTTTACCAGGTGACGTCTGAAAACTTCACTGTGCGAAGTCACTGATCATTATACTCAGAGCTGAACTACAGATAAAACAGTTTCTCCTTTTTTTACTCTTTGTGCACAAATCAACTTTGTCTATTAAGATTTATGATGATCTTCTCCCTCCCTGGAAAATGACAAGAAGAATCAGAGAAACCATTTTTAAATCTTTGCATCAGTTTGGCCAGGTCTGATAAATATCCAGTCTTGAGTGTAAAAGCTTCCAGGAGACAGCGGAGGTGGACTGAAACCTGATGACTCACACAACCGGAGGAGGCGTTATGAGATTCACAGTATCCAGATGTTGAAAATGTAAAGGTAAAAATGCATATACAGGGTGTATATGTAAACTATATTCTTCATTCAGTTTGTGACCAGATCCCCAATCAATTCTTGAATAATCTGTGTATGGCCAAGAGAACATTGATCTGTATGCAAGGACTGTGTGCTACTCTTACAGATTCATATCGATCCAGTACTGTAACTACAATCGTATTGGTTTTGTTTTGGGTTTTTAAGAGAAAAAGAGACACTATAACAAAAAAAAAGACATTTTCTTTGACAGTAGTTTTGCTGTATCAGTTTTCCTGCAGCCACACGCTCAAAGAAAAAACACTGAAAGCAAAAGGCCTTTATTTTTACCATTCCTCCATGCAGCCACTCTGCCAACCCCTCTGCGGTGGAATCAGGGATCTGACATCGCAGGTTGTCCCGCTCCTCATTGTCCATGAGCTCCAGCGCCGCCCGCAGGTCCTCAAGAAGATGCAGCACCCGAAGGCCACCCAGGAAAGGTGAGGTGGGCGACTGGCAGTCAAAAAGCCCGTTGGAGTAATCCATCGCCTTGGAGCCTTGTGAAGAGAAGAGATGGAAGAAAGTGATTAAAACAAGTGTGGTTGTGGAATTAAAGTGTCTCATGTGTGGTATGAAAGTCATAATGAAAATCTAATGTGTTGGGTTCTCACAGACAAAATGGCAGACGATGACTAAAAGAAGAATTTATGACCAAGGCTGGTCTGGTTGATCTGTGGGTGTGGTGGAGCAACAGAGACAAAACTGTACATTTTACTATTTGTGCAAATGCACGTTTACTTCTTTTTTCTTTACTCCATGTTCTGTGGATGTCATTCAACAAATGGGTCAGGTACATGGAACTCTGAAAGTTCACAACTGAAACTGTATGAACTAAGTCAGAAATATGCAAATGCATTTTTTCAGACATATAAAACCATGTGTCCATGTGGGTTTGATTTAAAAATCATTGAATGCACATGCACAAGCCTGATTCCCACAGTAAACTATACATGGATACAGACACTAAATAGTTTACATATGAACATCTCAGCTTGTTTTATTTACTGATGCACAGAAATGCAAAATAAATAATAGTAATATGAGTCGGTAAAACAATATAAACACCAAAATTATGTTTTACTCTCTCACCTCAACTCTAGTTTATATTCTCCCTGGTTCTCTCTACAAAACTGCCATGAACACTGGAGCTGCTCGATATTTACTCCTTTTAATCCACTTAAATATTTTAATTTATGAAGCACTTTGGACTCTCCAACAACATTTTGCTATCTAAATATCTTTGAATGTTTTGCTTTGAACACACTGAGCTGAATTTATCTATTTAAGGAAAATAACTATATTTAGGTGCTTGTTTGTTCTCTCCACCCCCCGCTTTATCACAGACGCACTAAACCACAGACAGAATGGGCGAGCACATGTTCAAATAAGGAATCATATGACAGTATAATTAAATAAAGACAATTAAATGTTCTCCTGTATGTGCTGAAAACACATCTTCTGATATTTTGGGAAGCAGTAGCTTGTTGACTGAACCCGAGTGCATAATGTTCCAATCGCACCATTTATCATGTGACTGAAACATCAGCTGTAACGAAGATGTCCAGTGGTAACAAAGAAGCAGCTAAGTGAGTGAATATCCAAACCATCGTGGTATTGCACACAGTAGCGAGGGAGTGGGGCTCGATGATGGCTGTGGTTTCTGTGGAAACAGTGGGGACTGGGGATCATGTGATCAGCCGCCTTGCTCCGATTGGAAAGGTCAGCGCTATAATTACACACATCGGCGGAAAAGTAGGGACTCTGAAACTGAAGCCTGCTCTGCTCATCTGCTGCGGCACAAGTATACAGCATGTGGCCAAAAGTTCCCAAGCAGGAGTTTGTCTTCCAAACTCACAGAGCTTGAATAATCATTAGTTTCCGTCACTGCTGGGACAATGGAAACTTTCTTTCCTCATGGTTGGAGCCGAAAGAGCCATTGACGAGCGGATCCAGCAGCACCATCTCAGCTTTATTTCAACTTCTGTGTATATTCAAGAGGATTACATTAGGAAGGAGAAAGAGAAGGACACATTTTGTTGCTGTCCACTGGAAGCAGAATTCCCAGCTTGCAACTGAATGACTTCCAGATGTGGCTGGACCCCACAGTCTATACCATGCCCACCTTAAGTGCTGTGGCCAGGTCTTAAAGTCAGAGTGTACTGTGTGGTTACCTGCTATGATCCCATCCATCTGCTCCAGGGCAGCTGCCAACATGTCACTGGCGTCAGACATCATCATCTTCTGTTCAATGAATCTGCAAAAGAAAAGGAGGCAGGATTTTAAAGGAGGAGTCTTTGTCTTACGTGACTGAATATGTGGACATCAGTTATTAATGAAAACAGTTGTCACTTTATTCCCTCTTATATTTTATTGTTCACAGTATTCATGTGCTCCTACACAAGCATTAGTTTCAAACTACAGAGCCTGCTTGTATGTTTTCACATTTCCATGTGAAAAAAAGTTTAACTGTGTTATCACTAATCATGTTATGATACAAGCTCACATTCTTCTTTTTCCACCGGCTGCTGCATCAAATTAACCCTGCACTTCGTGTCACAATAACCCGGCTGCTTGACAGACAAAAAACAAAGTGATCCCCGGGGCTTTTTACCCAGCAGGCCAAACTTCCGGCAGCCGAGCAATCACGGGTGCTTGTGGGCAGAGCGCCCATCTGGAATAATGGCACCATTCTCCAAGGGGTTTCAGGCGCTCGTAGCATCGGCATGATTGGCATCTCAAACTTCCACAACAAAGTTGGATGGTTTCCACATGACCGCTGGTTTCAAACACTCATCACATGTCTCTCCTTCACTTTGCAATGAGCACTTATCGCTTCAAATAGAATCTGATTGGCTGAGGTTGAAGACAGTGTAGAGTTTGTGGAGATAGAGCTGCTAAAACTAGAACTAACAACATAAAAACAGAGGCTGTGCTTGTTCAGACTTCCCATGGTCAGAGACTGGGGGGGCAGGGTCTGCAGACTTAATTTCCTCCCTCCCCGAGGTCACAGTGTCACACCTAGCAGGGTAAAAAATGGGCATGAGGAGTGTAATTAAACCAATGGTGGGGGGTGGGGTCTGCAGCTAACACAAGGGGCCTTTAAGTGCTCCATCGCTATAATTCCCCTTCACATGCCACAGAAACAGGAGCAAGTTTCTTTCCAAACAACAAGCACGCTCCTGCAAAGCTCTGTAAACATATCCAAATGAATTATGAACTGAATATCGGTCATGCACGTGCACACGGGTCAGTTAAAGCAAGACAAAACATGACTCCGCTCAAGAAAACATCACAATAACACAACTCGCTTTCCAATTATATTTTACAGTTCCCATGGGTTTGAGGGTGGAGGAAAGCCACGGATGCGCGTCTTACTACTAATTCGTTTTCCTCCGCAGGTATTTCCGGAGAATGATGGAAAACCATCCGTCACTCTCAACAGGGTGAAAGCTGTATTTGCTCAGCTGCTTTCACCCAGAGAGAGAGAAAACTACAGCTTCTCCAAAACAGTTTATTTTTGTTGTGAATCCAAATATTTTTATCTCTGTGTGAATCCTGAAAAAAAACAAGTGGCATGAAGAGAAGAAAACCAGCGTGAACCATCCTATGCTCCATTCAACCATCCTGCAGGCTTTCTGCAGGTGAAGTTACTGTAAGACAGAGACATTATGCACTTCTTATCACTTAAAAAAGTAAAACCTGAGAAGAGGAGCCCACAGATGAGGGTCCTCCTCTCCCTCCACGTGATGAAGAGTAATCATGATTGATGACGCCACAGTGGAGGAGTGAGCGCCACGCACATTCCTGAGCAGGTTCGTTCTCCCAAAAACCAAACACTGACGCCTGGTACCAACATCTCCATTGACCTCTGTGACCCCCCCCCCCCCCCCCCCCCCTCACAGACTCACAATCCAGCCAGGACTTCATTCAGTCAAAAACCAACACATGAGGCTATTTCAATAATTGTCAACACTGACCCAGAAAACAAACATGAAAACAACAAAAAGTCCCTGTGTATCCAGAAGCCTGAAATAAGAACTAACGTATTCATGAACAGTCTGTTTTTATACAGAGCTTTTCTAGTCTTGATTGACCTTTAACCATTAACTTTAAAACAGTTGCACATTTTACTAAAGCTCGTACAACTCCAAATTACTTTTTGGAGAAATGATGCATGAACAAGTTTGACATTGGGAAAATATTTGGCCTACTTTCGTGTGAAAATGTTCTGAATTACAAAGACATGGAGGGAAATCTGTGTCGAATAAAGACCAGTGAGCACCTTCTTACCCCAAAACAATATCTTAATAATTACACACTGAAGGCTAATAGAAAACCACATGAAGAAAAGTTCACTGACAACTTCACCCACAGAGGAACGCTCAAACAGACTTGTGATAAATGGCATTAATGGCCTTTATCTTAAGTATCTGACTGAGGTGATATTTACACATTTGTTCTGATGATGCAAGTCTGTTTTAACTTTAACCAGATGGTGAGGACATGATATGGAAAAGATACAGAGGGGGAGGGACACTGCATTTAAAAAGTAAAGAGGGAGGGTTTACTTGACCCGGACTCACACACACTCTCTGGTGCCTCAGACAGTCGTGCTCCAGCTGTGATGCAGATGTGTATTTCAGATGAACTTAAAGTAGTAACAGCAGGAGCATTCAGCAGCAGAGTAGCACAGTCACACAATTAGTATGAGTGATAAGTGATATTCACAGAAGCACTTATTAGAGGTAACATGGACATGAATCTAGTCAGTGCCACGTGAAATCCAACCTCCAGTCAAACACCCGGCCTTTGTTTACACATCCCCATGAGAGATGGTGGAGTGGACCTTTAGTCTGGGCTGCTGTGAGGTCGGACTGTTTGACAGAAACAACAGCTCGGGCTTTAAACTGCTGCTTTATTTCGTCATTGCAGCAGCAGCAGCGGCAGCGGCCACACTGAGACACTGCACAAACAAGTCTTTGTCTCCAGCAGACTCACATGGCAGCACTGCCACACTGATCCCCAGTTATTGCAGTTTTTCCACGTGGCTCCGACTACATCACAGTGAGAAATCACACTGGAGCAGGGGAAAATAAAGAGGATGGTGGAAACGGGCGAGAGGAAGCCAAGAAAAACAGACTTTTCTGCTTTTGTTATAAAGATTTCCACATGAAATCTTAGTCATAATCAAAAAAAGGCATCAGAAGCCAAATACTGTAGAGTTAAATGAGTTTTACATGAATGAGCTGAGAGCATAAACAGGCCTTGAAACAGAGGAATCCCCAAACTCAGGAAGACCTTCGCTTTGCTCTGTCAGGAAGCGTATCCTGGCACATTCTGGGAAAACATCTTCCTCTTTTAGCCCGAAACTGCCACTTTCCAGTGATCGCAGCACCGTCCACCCCAACAGCTCCAAACATCCAACTCTAAAAGCCACTAACTTTTATCAGATCATAGAGCGCACTGGGATATCAACCTTCCTCAAGCTGAGGAGGAATTTATAGCTCAACGTGATCTTTAATTATGTTTCTGCCAAACAAAACGGTTTTAATCTAAATTCAGAAGTGTGTAAACATCCCGATATAGCATGAGACTTTACAGTGACACCTCCCTTCACTGAAAATACAGCAGCAAGGGAGTTCTGTACCAAGAATGTAAAGAATTTAAATGTCAAGAAAAAAAAGAAAATGTGCACGAAATGGAAAAGGGAAAAATAAAATCTAAAAAGCTAGAAACCTTTTTGAAATTACAGCAGGATAAGTTTGGTAATGGACTGAGGTACAAACACATGCCTGCAGCCTGAGGAAATAAGATGATTACTACCAGGAGATTAGACTTATTTACTAAGTGTTTTATTATGCTCATTTTCCCGCTGTAACATTAAATATAGCCGTGTAAGCAAATGTGCACCAGCATGGATTCCCTGCGCTGCGGACCATTAGCTGTGTAAGTGTGGCGGGGGATACAAATATGGTTATTACGGGAGAGGGAAATAAAATCCTTTGTTTTCTGTTGCTGTGCCTGGAAGTCAAGACACCATCAGCAGACATACTGAGGGTGGAGGGCTCCCAGCAGGTCACGCAGCGCCTCAGGACGGAGGTTTTTCCTGAAAGTCTCCAAACAAAAAGCTGCACAAGTCTGAGACTGATAAAGAAAGAAGCCGACTCTGGACCAGAAGCAGATTCAAACTGCTGCCTGCTACTGTCTCCTCTGCAGGAACTGCTGCTGGGAACCAGAGCGAAGTTCACCACAATGATTCATTACTTGGCTTCAACATTAATGGACGCATGATACATAAATCAGCTCTGGTTTAATGACGCTGCAGCAGTAAAATACTTTTGATACTGCAGAAAATATCAGGGTCGGGTATCGGCTAGTATGTAAATTTATGTACACAGCGGGGCTTTGTGTAAAAAATGCAAATGTACGAGTCAATTGCAGCGGAGGCAAGATATCGTGCTAGAAAGTTCCACGCGTAAAACAGAAACATGCAGCTACATGCAAAACTTATTGTCCATTTACTTATCTATTAGATTTGTGCTCTTTTTCAGCCACGACTCTAAAATGAAATAAAAAAAAAGTTGTTTGTGGTTCAATCTCTGTATGTTAGAGTTTTTCATCAACCATAGTCTTCATCACTTCCATGCTGAGTTAATAGAAAACATCTGTTAAAATACATTGTGCAAGTTATTTCTTTTAAATGAGGCACTCGATATCAGCCAGTGTGCAGAGGCTGGGTATCGATATCGGGAGGGAGAGAAAGATATCGGGACATCTCTGGTTAATTAAACAAACTTTAATTTAAGCATTAAAATCAGAATAATAAACGTCAACAGCTGAGGACGATGACAAATGAAATCCTTTCTCTACACCTGATTTGAACGAGTGGTTTGAAGTCAGTGCATTTCATTTGCCATTCATTAAAATACCTTTAACACGTGAGGATGTCAGCGATGGGAATTAAATATAAAACATAAAATAACTTAAACATCAGCGAGCAAACTGTGAAAACCCGTTCACGTGAGCGACACTTAGAATAAAGTTTGTATATCGGGAGCTAACGGAGCGCGGTTAAGCTAGCGACGCCGAACAAAACGTTAAACTAACCGTGGAGACTTGACGGACACTCGTCGGAACTCACGGGTTGTTTCTTCGCACAAGTGTTAGAGAATCCCTCCGGAGAGCTGCGCTGCGGACGGTGCGGGCGGTGCGGGCGGTTCCCGACGCAGCTTCATGGTCGACGAGCAACTTGTCACTGAAACAAACCGAGTCCGAAGTTTTCATCCAAACTTCAGAAGCGTCCGAGCGAAGTCAAGCTAACGTTAGCGAGAGCGAAGCAACAGGAAGTCCCGCGTGGGCTTCAAAATAAAGGTTTTTTCCCCCCTCCCACTTCCTGTAAAGTTAGGTCAATAAATATAATATATTTTACACATAACTCATCTGCCTCAGATTTGTTTTGTTGTTCATTAAGTTTAAGAGAGCACAGATTTATAGCTATCTTTTCGAACATAGAGAAAAAGAGAAATTATACAAACAGTGATGAGGAGAAAAAAAAAATCAACACTTAATGATTTAATCTAAATTAAACCTCACCCCTTCTCCATATATCATTAATTTATAATTATCTTATACTAAATATGAACAGTTTTACCTCAATATAATTTTTAGCCACATCACCCAGCCCCTCCATCAATATTTATAATTCATCCTTTATTTTACCGGAGATGTATAAAAGTGATAATTGAGATTAATGTGATAATAATAATAATAATAATAATAATAATAAATGTTATTTGTATGGCACCTTTCATACAATGGCACAATATCAGTGATATTCCTATTATTTATTTTAATTTAGTATTAACAAAAACTACCAGTAATTTAGTAGTATAAGCAATATCATATGACATTACAGTATTTATACTACACATTTTTTAAATTTGGAATTGTAAATAATATTATTATAAAATCATTCTATTTTTACCTAGATAGCAGGTCTCAAACTTTAAATGAATCTTCAGACACACCCAGCACCAGGGGTCTGAGAGAAGAACAAGATGAATACAGGAGGATATAAACAACTTTGAGAACTGACAGTACAAACAACATGTCACAGTATTTAGAGCACCAGTAAGAACAAGAGAGGAACCTGAGAGGTGACACGTAAGTGAGGGTAGTTTGTAAATAATGAAATATTTAGATTTCAACACACAGAGCAAATCAAATCTTTTTCATTTCCAGTCCAGTGTGTTATTAATCACATGTTTGTCAGAGAGATTCAGACTCTGAGATAGTGAAGAGATAGTTGAGACAGTAGAACCAGCAGGTGGCGTTAGAGATGTACTGTTGATCTAAGAGAACAGTTCAGTGTCTCTTATGAAGGAGCCTCGACTTTAACTCAAAGTGCAACAAGTGTCTGTGCTGAAGACATGATATAACACCATCCCTGAATTTATCCTCCTGACTGAAGAAGACTCAGTCGCAGTGCAGGATAAATGAATAGTTTATTCTGTAGAATAAAAGTTTTATAATGACAAATATCCGGAAACATAAATTGATATATCAGTGAAAGGCTCATATCAGATTTATCACTCAGGCTCCATTTTAAAATAATATAAGATGATCAAAACCATGAAGAGTATTTCCAAATTGTCGGCTTTTATAGACATTTTCTTGTTGAATTCCCAGCTTTCCTCAACACAGACGATAGATCTGTTGTGAGTTTCCTGCAGCTTCTTTAATCTTCTCTAACAGCAGCCTCCCTGCCTCTCTGTGAATACATCTGTGTTCAGAACACATGGCGGCCTCACACTGAGCTCACAAATGACCCTCACAAGACGTATTCCTCGGAGCCACAGTCTGAGGAGAGCGTGTCCCGCTCACCTCATCATATGGCAATCACAGCAGTGAAAGCAATTAGTGATTCATTTTGTTTTTTTACAGCCTCTTTCGGTCGTCTGTAATTTTTCAAGTGCAGCTCTTACTGTTGATGAAATCCTGTAGAACCGATGGAGGCTTGATGTGTTCCTCGGATCATTTGTAGGGAAGTTTAAATGTGCAGCCAACCGTCACTCTGGCTCTGTGAAGTGTTTGGCTAATCAAGCACAAGCTCTGCAGATTTGGGGTAGTTCACCCAAAAATGAAAATTCACTAATTATCTACTCACCGTTATGCCTCTGGAGGGGTGAGGGAAGTGTTTGAGTCCACAAAACACTTTGTGTTGCAGCCAAATCCAATTGAAGCAAATACTGAACACTTCATCAACAGAAGAACAACATAAAATGCCTCCATGCTGCCTCGACATTCAAATTCGACTTGAAACAGCCTCATTAACACCGTGTGTTTAGCCCTTTAAGACCCAAAGCATCCACTCGCTGAGCAAAGTAATTTTAGTGGTCACGGTAACCTTGCTGCTTGGAATTACCCACAAAACCCTGTGGTCATTTTTTATTTCTTTGTGTAAAACAACTCTAGACAGACACAGCTGAAGTATTGTCAAGTTGTTCTGGTAGAAGCTGGAGGGCGACGCTTCAGGCTGAGGTCAAGTGCTCCCGTCGGTGCACTGAAATGGATGTGGGTTAGAGGAATATCCAGCTGTGCAAATAGAAATCATAATTCAAATCTGACATGTTGAGCTATACATGGGAAGTAGACGACCTCACAGTGGGATCTCACACCACAAAACATCTACAGACTCTCACGATCAATGAGCAACAGAAAAAAAAAATAAAAATAATGTTTGGTCGTATTTCCAGAGCGATGTCGTTGGATGAGGTTTGTTGGAACGAGGTCTTTGGAGGACAGCAGCAGCGGGCCGTTCTGCACTTGACCCTCCGCTGTGCTGTTATTGTCAGAACAAGTAGAAAGTGTAATAAAACCTTAAAGGCTCAGTGGACGCTGGAGCCTGAATAGGAAGCGTGGGGACACATACAGTAAATCCACATCTTACTCTCTTTGTAGCCGCCTCTTATTCCTCTCTGTTGCTGCAGCGTTTTATGTGATGTTATTTTTCCTCTTCTCCCTCGAGATAAATGGAACAAACACGTAAACCCTCGAGCAGACAACACGTAGTTTAAAATCGCTTTATATAATATGAATAAAGGCAGATATTTTGCTTTCTTGCTGAAAGTTAGATAAAAAGATCAGTAGCACTACGCAGCCTGTTTTGATGATTTGTTCTGAGGACATGAGAACAAAACGTAGTGACCGTGCAGGATGAGGAGCAGTCGAAGTGACAAGACTCAAACGCGCAGGATTTGCTGAGATCGATGTTGAAAGGACGAGCGTTCTCTTCATTAGGGGGAGAGCTGAGGGAAACAGACGCCGAGACGGTTTTTATTTCATCACTCAGCTCTCCTGCTGATGAGATGCAGGAGATCACGTTCCTTTTGTAATTTCTTTATTTCTCATGCAACACTCCAGACAGGGTGATAATTAATGAGATGAAAGCTTGGGTGGCAGGGTCCCCGAGGGTCCTGACCACCCTCCTACTCAGTGACGGGTTCAAATCCATGGCCTAATGTACGCCCGCTCGCTGAAGTGGTATTCATCACCTCACTTCAAAGCATCTTTAGTGCTCTCGTTACCCATCCAATCTCATCCCACTGTGATAATTATCATCAGATTTCCAGATTCAACCACTGAGTGATTTGTTTGGTGACTGAGCACACGGAGCATTCACCCAGTGTGCGTTACAGATAGTCTATATGCAGTTACACAAAGAGCAGGTGGGATTTACTTGGCTAATCTCATGTGACAACTGATTTACATACTGTGACAAGACACTAGCAACCGTCACCACTGACTGCAGGCACGGAGCGTCGCATTTCTATTCCTAGGCTGCGGCAAAAAGTAATTCAGCCCCGCATGTCACACAGACGCCGACCATTCTGCCTCTTAAGTGCAAGTTGTGCTAACAAAGACGGGAACACGCTGCAAATAGCTTTGTCCATCATGGCACGGAGAACCTCCTGACATCCCCGTAATTATTCCTTGGATGCTAATAATAAAGTGGCGGCTGCCCTGCGGTGAGCCAATTGAAATGTTGCAGTCCAGTGTGATGTGAATCCGTGGCAACGTGGCAGGGCCGAGACACGGTGGACAAATAACAAAAGGAAATTCGAAAGCACACTCAGGTGGCGTGATACGTCGTGATAAGCAGTGCGGGTTCCTCGGATTGTGAACAAAGACAGAACAACTAGTTTTTATTTCCTACAACTGACAGAGAAGCCGAAAACACGACCCCTGACACTTTTATATTATTAGGGGGACAGAGTAACAGGTCTATCCTAATTTATCCCTCCATTTTCTCTGCCACTGATCCTGACATTTTATGCATCACTTCTTTTGTGGAGCTTTGCGTCAGCCTCCTACAACTTTTACAGAAAGCTCAGGTCTCTTCATGACTCACAAAAGTCTCAAGGAAATCCTTGTCGCAGACTAAATACCAGCTGCCACAGTTTGAGTCACGTACCTTTGTGCTATTTGAAAACGTCAAAGAAAGAATATCAACTATTTTCATTTGGTTTCTTCTTATTTTAGCCATTACATGCTGCGACCACTGTATAGAAATGAAGCCAAGTCTACGCAGTGGTGATCATGTAGTGACATGATCTCACTAACACACACAGTCAACCAATCTCAGCCGTCAATCAAAACGAATCACCCCATTTTTATAACACTGATTAATTAGAATCTAATCAGAAACATGAATATTTGATTTTTGTCTGGAATGTTTTAAAACTTTTGGTGATTTTCAATCAAGATTTTTCTGTTTGTCACTGCCCCTTCGTTCCTTTTTTTTTTTTTTATTCAGACATGGAGCCGTTTTATTTAACATTAGATTACTCACTCCTCTCGTCTGTCAGCTGCTTTTAAAGGACAACACGTTTCCACTTCCTCCCACTGGAAATACAGCAAAAGTCAGTCTCAGCTGTCAATCAAATTATCAGGAACATTAACACAAACATCGATGTGATCAGCACCACCGAAAATAACATAAACCATCTTTTATTTTCAAATTTGGTCTATGTCCCATCGGCTTACATGGAGGACGCATAGATTATGACCTTGTGACATAGGATTTGGTTTCGCTTTTAAGTTGTCATGTCCAGGGTTGCAACAGCAAATAATTAAATAAGTTTAACGCAACTAACAACAGATGTACGTGGGAATATGTAAATGAAAATGTATCAATAATCCATAACTCAGAGTCATATCCAATACTGTGATGGAGAGTTTTGGAAATAAGCTCTGTCTGAAAACACAAGGAAAAGATTTTCTCATTTCGTTCACCGTGTAAATCCAGGACATGTTTGTTTGTTTGT